CTCCTACCAGGAACTCAAACTAGGTGAGGAGAGATCTGGGGGATTTGTTTTCAAAGAGAGTCACCTTTAATTTACTTATCATAAATAAAAATTCCTACTATGCAATAGTTTCCAAGACACTGTATTTACTCAATACTAGAATTCTTGGTCTTGGCACATAGCTGAGGTTTAACAATTAACAATACCAAAATGAAAGCTACTCTCTGAATATTTGTGGCATTAAGGCTCCAACATTACAGTCTTAAAAAAGTGTACTATTTAACATCAACTCTGCCACAGGTGTACAATACTTTTCCAAAAATAATGGAATACTTTTCTGGGCAACACATCAAGTCTTTTGCTGAGATTGAAAAACTCTGTGATTATATCCGTGAGAAGGTGGAATTTCATAAGAAGACGTCGGATCCCCAGAACCCACGTGACTATATCGATTGCTTCCTTTTTAGACTGGAGAAGGTAGTTATAGATACCATGTCTACATAACTGTCTAAATATTTCCAACATGTATCTGAGATGAAACTAGTTCACCACATATGAACGAATATGAAAATATTTATTCCTTCTTATTTTACTTTAAATTGCCATTTGTTGGCATATATTTGTATTCCTGACATAATTGTTACTAAAGTTATCTTCCTTCAAAAAATGACTATGTATAGAAATTTGCTTTACGTGCTAATTTACACAACTTCTGCATTCTTAATAGATGATATAAAGATAATTATTGGTCTTGCAAGAGCAATTTCTATTAGGATTACTCTCTCAGCAGAGGTGGGATTCAGCTGGTTTGGACCAGTTCAAGTGTTAAATTTTTGCATAGTTGGCTAATTGCACTACTGGCTGGCCCCATCCCACCCTGCCCAGCCCCTCCCAGTCACTCCTTATCTTGCCTGCCTTGGTCACAGCATAGCAGCTGCTGTTCTCTGGCTCCATCACTAGCTAGCTCACTTACTTCGACCACGTGGCCCCCCACAGTCCAGCCCACTTGCATGCCTTTACCCTGGCCTCCCATGTGGCTCAGCTCCCTGCTAAGCCTTTCTTCATCATTCTCCACTGCCTCCCATGTGGCCCAGCTACTTGCCTTCACCTCTTTTCCAGTGCACTGTTACAGGGCCTTCTAGGGCTCCTCCAGCTTGTTACAGAATGAAGGGTCCCTGGGCCCAATTCAGTCTTCCCACCCCATTTCTCATGGTTTTACTGTACTTATTTTTTGAAGAGCTGCAGAAGAGGCTAAGCCACGTGGCAGAGAGACCAAAGTCTTTTATTCAGAAGACGGTGAAGCTGTAAGAACGTGAGATGTAAGGAAAACAGCTTTCCCCATCTGAATAAAAGTCTTCAGCTTCTCTGTCATGAGGGCCTGCAGGCTTAGTTTGAGCCCAGTGTCAGGCTCCGGGCATGGCGACATACCTTGGAGCCCATCAACTCAAATGAAGTGCTTCTGGGGGAACCTTGATCTGTGTTTAGACTCTCCATTTTGCCGCTGAACCGATACACCACTGAACAGCTGACGAACCGCTGTACAATTGATGAACAGCATGGCAACAACAGCATTGGAGACTCCTGAAGGAAATCCAGATGCTGATGACATCATCAAGGGACTGGGACATAACCTACATTCAGCGTAGGATGAAGAGCAGCCTGACGGGACTATTGTAAAGACACTTGCTGATGGGGAGCGGGTGCAAATGGGTGATAGCTGGGCCAGGGATAGACAGGGATGTTAGGAGAGGTGACAATAGGAGAGGCAGGGAATGCTAATCCACAATCAAATGCCAGAAGCAGGGAATGATTACTGAGGGAGTGATTAGTGATTAGAGTGGAGCAGAACTCAGGAGGTAGATGTGTTTAGGTGGGGCATGGCTGCAGCTATAAACAGCACTGGGGGGCAGATGCTCACATCACTAACCTTAACTGACTTCCTGCCGTTCTTGTCAGATGGGGAGTTAGTTGTTTGTGAATAAACCTTTATTCAGCTTTACTCAGTCTGAAATGTGTGAGTTGATTTGTTTTTCCTGCAAATATGCAGGCTTCCAGGAGACCGGCTGAGACCAGTCTGTTGCTTACTGGCTAGTTTGAATGAACAGCTTCAGGGATTGGGGCGTGGCAGCCAATAAACAAGGGCCTTGCAGTTCAGTCCGATGAGACAAAGGAAGCAACCTCCCATTTGGCTGCTGCTTCTGCTGCCTCAGTCCCTGAAACAGGAGGCTGATGTGGCCCAGTCCAGTCCTAGGCCTGCTGGCCACATGGCCCCAGCTGAAGTCTTTTACTCAGCAGCTGGTGAAAATATTTTCCTTAGATTTCATGTACTTACAGCTTCACCATAATCTCAATAAAACACGTTGGCTTCTGTCATGCCCCTAGTGGAGACTGACTCTGAGGAAGAGGAGGAACAGCCAACAGGGAGTGGGAGTGTGGCTCCAGAGTTGGTGGAGGAGGCTGGGGAAGGGCAGAGGTCAGCTGAGCAATCAGAAGAGGATCCAGGCCCATCCCCTATCCACCCTAGGGCACGCAGAGAGGAGAGGATCAGGGAAAAATGAGGTCTACTCAGGAGGAGATTACCATGATTCTCCTCATGGCTTGCAGCTGGGAGCTATGTATATAAGTTTGTAACTGCGTAGTCAGAATTGCTGGAGTCAAAGTTTAATGTTTCTTGTGAAAGAGGTTTATCTTTGTTGGCGTTCTTTCCATGGACTCTCCCTGTTATCTTCCAGGAATGTATGATTAATTATCTTGGCTTGCTTCAGAACTCTCATCAATGCAGTTTGTTTTGGTTTTCTTTTGCCTCATTATTTACTTTTGTGACTTTAAACTGTGCCTAATAAAACAGTGAAGTTAAGTTGAAGGCATTACCGGACTTTAATGTATGTTTTGGGTTTTGCGTTATTTTGAGAGACTACAGGTCATCACAGTTTCTCTGCCAGTGGGTCAGCCTCTTCTGGACCTCTGGAGATCTTCAAAAAAGTAAAATCTTCAAAAAGTAACGAATAAAGTAAATGGCATGATTAATATTTCCATTATTTTCAGTGGGAAGTAAAGGTAATTAAGTTAGCATGAATGTAACTTATTAAGGTTATGTTTAAAAATATAAAAGAACTATATGTTAAAACTGTCCCTGGTTTGCATCATTATGTCCATCCTTTGATTTATGTAGCAAATTGTATATTTTTGTTTTGATAAAAGCAAAGTGAATATTCAATGAGAACCAATCTGTTTCTTCAGAGTAGTCACTTTTTCTCCAGTTATTGTTCTTCCTATTCTTGCATTAAACTCACCCATTAGTATTTTGTACTGGCATTTTTCTTTGTCTTGAAGGCGGGCCACATCACCATAAAACTCTTAGACCACATCATTTCTATAGCTTATTGTTGGTGCGTAACCTTGGATGATTTGAAGCTTGTATTATTTGTTCAATTGAATAATGCATTGGGCTATTCTGTTTGATATACTTTCAAATTTTACTAAAGAGTATTTCAGCTTTTGGTTGATGAGAAAACCAACTCCACCACCTTATCCATCTTATCCATCCTCTAGTGTAGAATGTTTTCCTTTTTGTCATGTTTCACATGCATAGTGTTGAGTTCAATCAACAGTTCGTGTAGTCAAACATCTGTTTTCATTGTTCGAATGTTGACCATTCCTATGTCCAAAGTCCAAAGGCAGCCTGATTTAACCTGGTGATTCTTAGCATCCTCTGGGAAATGAGTGCCATTTTTGAGGTTATATTGGCATGTGGAAGGAATAGACCATAACCAGACACATTAGGCTACTGCGGGTGGACAGATGTGATCGGTGTTAATCTGGAGTATCCATCATGACCAGTTCACCTTAGGAGACCCTTCTGGACATATACATGTCCAACATCATAGACCATGAATTCATTTACCCACACAATACAATAACAGTTTAGGAAATTAAGTACATTAGTTTTTTTTTCTCTTGATTACTATTTATTCCAAATTTGGGTGGGGACTATAAATCTTCTAAAGTCTCATATGGAAACACTTTCACTTTGCTAGTTTTCAGCTTAATAAGAAAGATACAAGACAGAGATAAACAATACATATCTCTTCTTCTTGCACTAGAAAAATTGAAATGTTTTCCACTAAGAAATGACTTTGGAGGGGGAGCCGTTGTCTTGACTAGAAGAGTCTTCCCTGAATATGCTTTGAAAAAATGTTTCTATTCAAGTGATAGTAGATAGCATCATGAGAAAGTAAAAGGCTGTCAATCTCATCTCAATATGTTGTCTCACAGCTAAGGTGCAACAGGATATTAATGAGGTAGTGGGTAAAAATCAAACTCCAAGCATGGAAGATCGGTTGAAGATGCCTTTCACAAATGCTGTGGTCCATGAGGCTCAACGTTATCGGATTGGGAGCCTTGAGAGCTTTCCACAGGCAACAACCTGTGACATAAAATTCCATGGTTACAACATTCCCAAGGTGTACCAATAATACTAATCTACTAATCAAGATACTGTGCAGAAGAAAAAAAATGATGACTGTTAGTAGCCAGAGATCATATTCAAGGAAGTTTAGTAAATATGTATTGATATTCCTTATTTATGGAATTGTAAGTTGCCTAGAGTCACTTTGGATAGTGGGAGGTATATAAATTTCATAAATAAATTAGTTAAATCAAATCTCTTTCCCTTCATTTCAGAATGTTTGCAGATTGCTCTCTGCTGGCTTACGAAGCAAAACCAACTAATGTCATCTGTTTCCTCACCTCCCTCTTCAAGTACATGGCTGTTGCACCACTCCTCTCCTCAGTACACTTTGATCCTCTCCATTGGGAAGTTCAACCCTGATCATTTTTTGGATGAAAGGGCCAGTTCAGGAAAAGAGATGCTTTCATGCTATTCTCAGCAGGTACAGTCCTCTTGGACATAGAGTATTACAATTTCACATGTTGGCCTGATCCATGTTATTCCTTTATCAGGCACAATTCCAGATGGTGTACTTCCTAAATAAGCTTTATTTTCTTGTTTGCTATTGCAGGGAAGAGGGCCTGTCCAGGAGACGCTTTGGCTAGGATGGAGCTCTTCCTGTTCTTCAGCACCTTGCTCCAGAAGTTCACCTTCTATCTGGATAGGGACACCAAAGACACAAATGTAAAGTCTTTGTTTATGGTCTTCCAAAATAAGAATCAATACCTCCTTATATGAGCTGTTAAACGTTCAGTGGACCCTTGTGTTCAATAATTAAGACAAAGAAAGAAGCCAAGATCATGATGAGTGTTAACTTACTTCCTTCCTTCCTTCCTTCCTTCCTTCCTTCCTTCCTTCCTTCCTTCCTTCCTTCCTTCCTTCCTTCCTTCCTTCCTTCCTTCCTTTCTTCCTTCCTCTTTTCTCTTCTGTTATTTTTGTTTTCCCCTCCCCTCCATTTCCATTTTCTCCCTTCCCTTCTTTCCTGGCACAAATGTATCCTACAATTTGCTCTTTTTAAGATCTAGAAATTGGATTGGCTGACCTATAGTATATTAATAAATATTCAAATAAAGCACATGGGATAGCTTTTACTTTTAAAGGCAATCTTAAAACTAATGTGGAATACAGATGCTATGATTGTGAAGGACACTTTATTTTTTATGGCAAAATGATTACTCTTATGTGCTCTGATAACATTTTATGGGCAAATTAAGAATATTTTTGAAATATTTCATACAAGCTTCTCTAAACTGTATTCTGCAAATAACCAATGTATAATTCATACTAAAGATTCAACTTCATTCTAGATTCTCATTTAGAAGTATTATGAGAAAATGATGTTGTGGAATAATGTAACATTTGAAACAGGATGCTGAACTGGTGGTGACCTATTACCTCATCTTTTCCAGTTTTAGCGAATAGCATCTGGCTTAACACTCATTTTTCATTTTATTCCACAACAATTTGGTTTTATTTTGTATTAAACCTTAGGGCTTAACCTTAAGGATGCAAGAGATGAGGGAGATCTGGGGAGAGAGGCTGAGAAGGAACACTGGGATGTAATGGGTAAGGGAAGATAGGGTCGGATCTTGGGAATTGATCCTCACTTGGTGATGTCAATCTCACTGGTTGAGAGTGATCCAATTGTCTAGTTTCAGGATCTTCCCTTAAGGCCAGATTATAGGATCCTGTAATGGGCACTAGTAATAAACTTGATGAACAGGAAGAAGAACCTCCTATTGGCAGTTGTCATCTGCAAATTATTGAGGGTTTCCAGGCAGCAAAAACTGGATGTGAGGCCCTTTGGTTGAATTTGGGTTCTACGGAACCATTTTGATTGCTGCTAGTATATTTCCTTTGCCCAAAATTGTGCCTGCCTTGAGTTACTGGTTCTGTTACTAGGTTGACAATAGAGATCCTGATGCTATTGATTCATGAAGAATTCAATTTTGCATCTGGTAGCCTTTAGTCTAAAGAAGTCCAGGGGTTTATGTCCATCATGGCAAATATGGACATATTCCAAATCACTAGATATAACACTTATGAGGGACCACTAGCTTTTCTTTTGTGACAGGTATGATATATCTAGCTTTAGAGAATATCATTATCACCATTGTCTATTGTCATGGTGCAATCATTCTCTAAATGTTTTCTGGTTTGCTGGTGTCATTCACCTCACGGGGATCCAGGACTTGTTCAATCAGCCCATGCAAGTTGGGTATCAGACAGAGCTTGGTTGAGTCATCTGGTAGGCTATCTGGCTGAGTCCTTAGTTGCATAAAGTTGCATAAAGTTCCATAAAACTCCAGTTTCACAAGAACGCCTTGCCAAGAAGACCACTTTGATTGAACTGTAGCAATGTGGGTTGCTAGGTGCTGCTATAGTGTGTATTTAGCAGAAGGTCCTGTTGCCCATGACAGGAGGCAGTGGTTCTTTCCCAGCCTTGCAGTTACAGCCATTAAGTGTAATGTGAGATACACTGGTTACCACCCCAGATCCTTTTGCTTACAAAGGACTGCCTCCCTTCAAAAAAAGGTTTAATTGATATGTGCTGGTTTTTTGTAGGAGATGACCAGGCAGAGCAAAAGGAAGGGGTCATATCTGTCATGAGTCCCCGCCCACAAGAGATCTAAATTCAGCCCATCTTGAATTCCTTATCTACTGCCAATTTCTTTTGGCCATTATTAGTACAAATTCTAGAGACGAGGTGGCTCAGTGACTAAGATACTGAGCTTGTCTATCAGAACGTTCAGCAGTTCGGCGGTTCGAATCCCTAGTACCACATAACGGAGTGAGCTCCTGTTACATGTCCCAGCTTCTGCCAACCTAGCAGTTTGAAAGCATGTAAAAATGCAAGGAGAAAAATATGGACCACTTTGGTGGGAAGGTAACAGTGTCCCATGCGCCTTCAGTGTTTAGTCATGCTGGCCACATGACCAGGGAGACGTCTTCAGACAGTGCTGGCTCTTTGGCTTTGTAACGGAGATAAGCACCACCCCCTAGAGCCAAGTATGACTAGCACATATGTGCGAGGGGAACCTTTACCAGAGGTGGTATTCAGCAGGTTCTGACCAGTTCTGGAGAACTGGTAGTGGAAATTTTGAGTAGTTCAGAGAACTGGCAAATACCACCTCTGACTGGCCTCACCCCATCTATTCTTTGCCTCCCGAGTCCCAGCTGATCAGCTGGGTCTTCTTTTGTTGCCCTGCACAGGAATACAGAGCTGGAAAGCAGGTTAGTGGGGTGGGGAGGGAATGGGATTGTGCAGTAATCTTCCCCTGGAGTGGGGAGGGAATTGGGATTTTGCAGTATGCTTTTCCTGACATGCCCACAAAGCCATGCCCACAGAACTGGTAGTAAAAAATTTTGAATCCCACCACTGACCTTTAGTACAAATTCTTATAGAGAGTATAAAACTTTCAATAAATCTTTGTATAGGGTCAGACACATGAATGTTCATAATTAACCAAGTTTACTTTGACAAAAGAAATAGTCCATAGAAAATCAACCCAGAATGAAGAAATAAATACCATAGGGAGTAACTAGAAATTTGTTTTAGGGTGGGGTTTCCAACCATCTCTCTCAGGTTTGAGGATTTTTTTCAGCTCACACAGAATTATAATGTAAAGATGCTGATAAATGAGTTGAGAGTTCAATTTCCGGAACCAAGGAATATTGATTTTATTTATTTATTTTATTTTTATTTATTTGATTTGCCAATTGTTTACAAGATAATAAGTATAAATGTATACATAGTTGTGAATACATGAAATGGTTACATATAAGAAAAATAAAAGAATAAGAGAAACAATAGGACAGGGACGGTAGGCACGTTGGTGCGCTTATGCACGCCCCCTACAGACCTCTTAGGAAAGGGGTGAGGTCAATAGTAGACAGTCTAAGGTTAAAGTTTTTGGGGTTTGGGGAAGAAACTACAGAGTCGGGTAGAGTATTCCAGACATTGACCACTCTATTGCTGAAGTCGTATTTCCTGCAATCAAGTTTGGTGCGGTTTACTTTGAGTTTGTATCTATTGTGTGCTCTTGTGTTGTTATGGTTGAAGCTGAAGTATTCATTGACAGGTAGGACATTGCAATGTATGATTTTGTATACCATGCTTAAGTCAGACCGAAGACGGCGTAATTCAAGGTTTTCTAGTTCTAGAATTTCAAGTCTGGTGGCATAAGGTATTCTACAGCGAGTAGAGGAGTGGAGAACTCTTCTTGTGAAATATTTCTGGACTTTCTCAATTGTGCTAATATCAGATACGTAGTGTGGGTTCCAGACTGATGAACTGTATTCGAGTATTGGTCTAGCAAATGTTTTGTATGCTCTGGTTAGTAGTGTGATATTACCAGAGAAAAAGCTACGTAGGATTAGGTTAACAACTCTTAATGCCTTTTTGGCTATGTAGTTGCAGTGTGCTCTAGCACTTAGATCATTAGAGGTGAGTATTCCAAGGTCCTTTACAGAGCTTGGGTCATCAACAAGATCTTGACTATTCAGCTTGTATTTTATTTTCTGATTTTTTTTGCCAATATGTAAGACAGAGCATTTATTTGTTGAGATTTGAAGTTGCCATTTGTTTGACCATTCGGATACATAGTCAAGATCTTTTTGTAGGGTAGCAGTATTGTCTGTGGTATTGAACAGCTTTACATCATCAGCGAAGAGAACGCAATTGCTCTTAATATGATCACAGAGGTCGTTTATGTAGAGTATGAAGAGAGTTGGTCCTAGAACACTGCCTTGGGGAACACCACTATTGACAGGTACTGGATTTGATAGGACGCTCCCGATTTTGACTATTTGTTGTCTGTTTGACAGGAATGCTTCTATCCAGTTATACAGTTGTCCAGAGATACCATAGGATTTTATTTTTAGGAGTAGTTTGTCGTGTACCACTGAATCAAAGGCTTTACAGAAGTCTATGTAGATTGCGTCTATTGTTTTGCCCTGGTCGAGTTGTGTCGTCCATATGTTTTTGCAGTGTAAGAGTTGCAGATTACAGGATAGTTTTTTTCTGAAACCAAATTGTTTATTGGAGAGTAGGTTATTTGTCTCTAAGTGAAGGATGATGGATTGGTTAATAATTGATTCCATGACTTTACAGGTGACGCAGCATAAGGAGATTGGCCTGTAATTTTCAACTAGGCTTGGGTCTCCCTTTTTGAAGATGGGGATGACTGTGGCTTGTGACCATAGGTTAGGCAAGGAGCTGGTTCTGAAAGATTTTTCAAAGATTATGCTTAGAGGTTTGGCTATGGCAGTGGATAGCTTTCTTAAGAAGTAGGCACATATTCCATCCGGTCCAATAGATAGAGATGGTTTTAGGTTGCGTATTGCTTTTTCAACATTGTCTTCTGTGAAATCGATATGTATTAGATCATTGTTGTTATCTGTGGTACGGCTAGGACAAATGAGTAAATGAGGAGGGAAGTCCAAAAGTAAAGTTAGAAAGTATTACTTCACAGAAAGAGCAGTGGAGGGAGGAGGTTAAGCATCAGTAACTAAGTTTAATCATGTTTGTGATAAACACATGTCCATCATCTGACCAAAATTAAAATTAAAATAAAAATGATAAAAAAATAATAATAATTTAAAATAATAAATAAATAAATTAAAAAGAAAAAAAAGAAAAATTCAAAAGGCAGACTAGGTCTTTTTTTGCCATCAAATTTCTGTTTTTCTTTTTTTAATAAATTTTATTAAACATTTTCCAACAATTAATAACATAT